TAGATAGATAGATAGATAGATAGATAGATAGATAGATAGATAGATAGATAGATAGATAGATAGATAGATAGATAGATAGATAGATTGATTCAGTGATGAACAGCAAGGCTGTCTCCATGGTTACTTTATGATACACAAGAGGAAAACCATCAGGAAATTAACTTATCGCGACAAAACGGTCATTGTTATCTCCTGATAATGACATATGTCGTTATTACGAGAAAACCATGGGAAATAATTATGAGCGGAAAATGGCTGCTCTTGGCTTCCGTATTAAGCCAACAACCAAGTTACTTAGAAAYTGACATAAGGTCAATAAAGTCAAAGTTTTAGAGTGGCCACCCCAAAGTCCTGATCTCAATCCTAAAAGAAAACTGTTGGCAGAGCTGGAAAAACGTGTGAGCAAGGCAGTCTGAAACCAGACTCAGTTCCATCAGTTCTGTCAACGTTTGACCAAAGTCAGTCAATTAAAAGGAATTTCTACCAAAAACTAAGAAAACACATGAAAACTTGTGACTTTGGAAAAAAAAACAATATAAAAATGTTGGGCATTTAACAACTAAAAATAATTTTGTTAATCCTGTTAATGAAGTCTGACATTGTCAGACTGAGAAATAAATGGTTGTGACTTTTTAAACAGTGGATAGAAACATCTGTAAACACAAATCATGAACAGTGTCACACCCAGCTCAWTAGCACAAAGGTTTTTCTTTATTTTATAATTTTACTGTAAGAACACAATAACATGAGCACCACTGTCCAAATAGATGTTCCAACATAAAAAACACATCTCAAAGATCTGCAGAATTTTTAGAAAATTAGTCTGGAAATGTTTGGAATTGTATACTGGAAACATCTTTTCTTTGTTTTTTTATTTATTCATTTATTTTCTGTCCTGTTTGCCAAACATTGTTTTTTTTAAAGGTCTGTGTGGAAAATAATGCATCAAAACCCAATTTAAAAACATGAACTGAATTATTTAAAATTATTTTAATGACAAAATTATTTAATGATTTACAATAAATTACAGCTGATAGACCTTTTCTGTGATGAAGTGCATGGAAATTTAATGTACTAACTGCTTTTTGTTTTGTTTTTCTTCCACATAGTATAAAAAACAAACTAATGCTTCTTACTAAATCAAATGACATTTTTGACTATACAAAATAATAATAATAATAATGCATTAGCCTATATAGCACTTAAGACAGATGCTTTTCATTATTCATTCATACACACTGAATCATTTTGAATTTGTGACATGATTACTGTTTAAAATTGTTTGAGCTCATGAAAATAAATGTTATGTAAAATAATGTTAAGACTTTAGCTGATTATTTATCAATAACATTCAATAAATTTTAAGTATCCGATCATTTTTTCACTTCAGAATTTTAATCTTGTTACCKTTTTACTTTATTGTTCAATAATTTCTCTCAAATATTGCTTGTTTCATTAATGTTGAATGACGCAGAGTCATAACAAAGCAGCTTCATTTTGAGTTGGACTTTAAAACACAAACACCTCATATTTAATCATGTAGGGTTTCACACCTACACCTCTTACAACAAGGTTATAAGGAAAGTATTTTAGCAAAGATTATTTTATTTTCGGT